CCCTATTCGTCATCTCCTCCCGCTCGCTGGCGGGCATGCCAGCAACACCGCTCGCGATTGGCGGAAGCCTTCCTACCTCCAGCCAATCCGGCCCAGCACAGGCCCAAGATGGCGGAGCGGTGTCGAGCGGCGGCGCCGTTCTACCATGTTGGGGTTTATTTCGGCTCGTCAGGCCGGGCTCGACGATCCCTTGCGGCTGCGCCGGGCTGAGTCCACCCGCAGGTAGCGGGGCCTGGGGGGAAAAAGGCTGAGGCGAGGCTGCGTGGGGCGGGCCCGCAGCTGCTGCTTCAAGCTTGGGGGCTGGCCTGAGGCGGGGCCTGGGGCCGTCCTCTCTTCCGCGCGGGCCGAGGGCCGGGCTTGCCCCACCGCCTGCCCCGGGAGCGGGGCGAGCTGGGGCGGAGCGGGTGGCAGTTCTCCAGCGTGACCTGGCGCAGCCGGCAGAGGCTGTACGGTACGCGCCGGTACTCATCTGGGAAGGGTTCGGTAGGATTTGTGTTGGCAGTTGGGAATTGCCCTAGAGCAAGCGGATGAGTGGGGTGTGAGTGGGTTGGATGCCGACGGCGATAAGGTGCGGCGCGGTGTCACCGCCTGTTCTGCCTTACCGCACTCAGGCTGTTTCCACTGACGTGTGACTATGCTGTGTTTCACGAAAAGGCGAGACCTAGGTGGTGCTGGGGCTCATGCATCAGCTCGACCTCGATTTTCTCATAACCACACCTGTTGGCTGCTGACAAAAGAGTTGGATGCAGGATTGTTGTTCTGTTTGTAAAAGCTTTTCTGGAAAGTGGTGATTGAAGTGAGGGGCTTATTGGTACAACTGTCAAAGACAGTAATGTGATGATACTTGGTCATTAGTAAAGAATCCGTTTTGCAGCTATTCTTCAACATAAACGAGGTAAAGCCAGTCTATGTGCAGTTACTTGCAGAACTGCATCTGTCAGCTGGAAGGATTTGTGTTTTGGATTCTCACACCAAGGTTGCTGTGTGTTACCTGTGTATTTGCCTTCAGTTGGGATTTTGTGACTGTGTATACAAAGAATCTATAATAAAAATAGATTATCAATATAAAGTATGGAATTTATAGTTGTAATTGGTGGAATTGCCCTAATTCAGGAAGCTCATTTCTGATTTGCATTGTATCAAAATAGGTACTTTGTGCCCTGTCAACTTCTCTGTTGCATTCACTGTTGAGAAAGTAGCAAAATGGGCACAGTTTATATTGCTGAAAAAACCACATACCTAACATTTTTACCTCCTCTGCATTTTTGTTTTGAATTAATAGGAATCACACATCATCTTCAATAGATTTGAGGCATGTGATTGAAATTTAGTTCCAAAACATTTATTTAAGGTGAGATACTGCTTCAGTCTGAGCTCAGAATTTTAAGTATTCTGTGAATATCAAAATTCTCACATAATTCTATTCTATTCTACATATTTTGAACTAGCCTGAAGCATGTCTGTGCATACTGTTGATCATTCTGCCTCTAACAGTTCAAGCTTCCCACAGAAAGTATTACAAGATATTAGAATTTTTTCTGATCACTAGATCAGGAAACTATTGGAAGCTACACCATGTGGATAGTGTAGGCTTTTTTTTTCTTAAGAAGATAAAACACACAAAGTAATAAACACATAAAGTAGTAGTAAAAGAGAATAGTGAGATTTATTAAACTAAAAAAATTTGTCCACTAGGTGTCCATAGTTCCAAGTAGGAGTGATGAAGCGTACTGAAGCTTGCAAGTGATTAATATTTGTCACAAAAATGACAAATACTTCTTGATGTTTACCCTATCTGTATTTTTTCAAACTACTTTCTTGTTTTGATGCTTCATGTGTTGGCCTCAAATGCAACTTTGATATTCCTTTGAGCCTGTCTTACAAATTTTCTTGCCTCTTAACTTCCAACAATACCAATGATAAAACACTTTTTCTGCCAAACTTTTAATCTTGTTTTGTGTCTCTGTAAGCTTATTTTGCAAGAATAAATAGATGGGGTGTTAGATGCACCGAGGGAGAATGAAATCATGCTGTGCACTGTATAGAGTTATAGTGATATCTTAAAAATCTGTTCATATTTTTCATCTCACTTTTCTGTTAAATTTTCTTCTATTTTTTTTTCAGGGTTCTAAATTTAGAATTAAATAAAGATAGAGATGTGGAAAGAATACATGGCAGTGGTATTAACACCCTTGATATTGAGCCTGTTGAGGGAAGATAGTAAGTATATACTTAAGTTTGGCAAAAATCATTTCACTATGTCTTGGCCATTATTTTATAGCAGAATCCTTAATTACATTTAGCAGGTTGAGATCTTACCTTTTGTAACCTGTGTGTTTTATTTATACTTTCAGCATGTTATCAGGGGGCTCAGATGGTGTTATTGTTCTTTATGACCTTGAAAACTTGAGCAGAAAACCAAATTACACATGTAAAGCACTTTGTTCTGTGGGAAGGTAAGTACTCAAAGAAAAAACTATTAAAAGTTAATATTGATATCCATTGTAAGACTAGCATCAAATTAACAGAGTAATATGCATGCTTATGTTTAGGATAAAGAGGCTTTATACTAGAAATGTTTGGTGATGGCTAGCGTTACAGATTATGTTTCTGGCATAAAGAGAAAAATTGTAGAAGCTTTGCAAAGATATATGTCATTTGCTACATAACAAAAGTTACTTGTTATATCTTTGCAATGAGTATTTATTAATATTCTTTGAGCAGGTCTCTGGCAGTTTCACTTTGGAGCTGTAGGAATATTCTTTGCATTCCACAGTATATATATATAATTTTATGTATTTTGGAGTAGTTATATGTTTAAACAAAGGAAAAATGATTTTGCATGATTGTTAAGCAGATGGGAAATAAAATCTGAGGTTTGTAGTTGTTGGTTTTATTTTCTCTCTGTTACTGGCTTTACAATTGCTTATTTTAAGTTCTCCAGTTAGCACCATGTAGTTGCAGTACTAATTAATACAGAACTTTTTAGGAATGTTTGAATGAGGACAGATGTGTTACTGAAAAAAATAGGTCATATTTTTCTGAAGACCCAAGGTATTACCATGCTAGTCGAAAGAATCAGTATAAAGACTCAAAACCTTTATTGCTGTGTGAGACCATTCTGCAGGTAGTGTAGGTTTGTAGATTATTGGCAAAATCTCTTTTTAATTTGTGCTTAGATATTCTGTTAGGTTAGGACTTTGTCTAAAAGTAACAATGACACATATCCAACTCTGTAAAAGATTAGTACCTGCATTTTCTCCTTGTGTTTTCCTAGCCTTTAAGTTATTTGCAGTTTAAGAACTTGGTGAGTAGTATCAACAAGCACAAAACATATCTATAACAGTAACAGCCTCAGATTGGTATGTTGGGCAATAATAATAATAATAAGAAGAAGAAGAAGAAAAGATTAATAGAACATAAATAAAAACAAATGCATAAGAACATAATCTGCTGCACTTGTGAAGTGTTGTGTGTGGGGGACTACTTGAATAAAATAACTTAAAATTGTAGTTAAGAGCTAGTAATGAATGTGTATCCCTGAACCTAAAAACAAAAGTGAATTCTGGAACAGACGCAGAAAACTGAAGAAACATGGACTGCTAACACACAGTATAAGAAAAATGATTAATCTGTACTAAAATCATGCTTTGTTTCCTTATCTGTCTAGTCAGTTGAAGCATTCCAAACTTGAAAATTCTATTTCAGTATGGCTAGTTGGCAGTCGGCCTCTTGAGTAGGTGCTTATTTATATAGATCCATCTTTTATTTCTCATCACTTGTACAGAAGATTAAATCATAGTAGTAGAATCTTATTTCATGTAGAACAATGTTCTGAATGATGTTGCTATTGTTTTTGCTTAAAGCTACTGTAGTAAGTTTTATGCCTTAAATTATTATTATGCTTTATTCCAAGTATCTGTCTAGTTTCCTGGTATGTTTTAAATACTTACTGCAGCTACTTAGCTACATGCATAGCTTCAGATATTGGAATATTATCTATGCAGACTTCCAACACTATAAATGAATTTTTGATTACCAGTGAGAAATACTTTTGATCTGATTGTTTCTTATCTTTAAAATGAATGATAATGACATGCTAAAAGGATTTGTTTGTGATCCAAGTTTGCAGGGTGCGAAGCAACTCTGGTCAGGAAATTGCTTTAAGAAAAAGTTCTTGTTAGGTGTCCTGTGAGGGTATTTCTGAGTAGATTCTGACCTGGGACAGCTGAGGGTCCAATAGTTTAGACCATTAGAGAAGGTGATTCCTAATATTAGATTGCAACATACCTAATGTTTCTTACATAGATTTGGAGTCACCATTGGAATAGAAGTTTTCTAGATTTTTCCTTCCTTGTTCGGAGTCAGCACTCCAACCTTTACTTGGTTTCATATGATTCATGCTGTCATGGGGCAAAAACTGACATTTAAGAGTAAACAAACTTTACCAGCTTCTCGATAACATAGTTGATGCTTCTGTAGGTCTTCTCTATTTGAAAACTGTCCAGGATGAGTCAATATCAGTGACTTTACTGTCCATGTAATTCATTCTGTATTTTCCTTACTTTAAAAGGTTGGTATTTCCTTACTAGTGGCGAAAAACACTGCATATAAAATGAATTAGAAAAATATACAGCCTTGAGAGATGAAGTGGAATGGCACGTGGCCACTACTAAGCCCAGCTTCACCAAAGGTGGTTCCAGCAGAGCTACTTAAGAGAGAATGTAGAAGAAATGATGATTTTGGTGTAGTGCTGAACAAAGTCCAGTTTTGTACACTTGTATTTAATGCACGAAGGTGGTAGTTAGTTCAGTGAATTTAGTTTTTATTGGATAGTGAATTGGGATATTTCTGCGTGGATTTGTACAAATGACTCTACAGGAGTTAAGTTCATACCGAGTTGGGTTTGGTTTCTTGGCCTTGAAGTACTGAA